ATTCTCGTTGTGGTACTAGACTGATGCCGTTGAAGTTGGATCTTTTTCGGAAGAGCACCGCTCAATGAGGAACTCACTCGACAAGTGTGAAAAGTGGAAATTAATCGGCTATGAAGAAGACGAAACTCGTCGATCTGCTGGTCGAAGAAATGAATTATTCATTAAATTTATGCTTTCGCCTAGTCATCGAAGAAAATGTGGCCATGTTATAGATCATATTGCTGCGAATTTCTCGCTTTATGTTTTACGTTAATGACGTCTTACTTAGTGCATGCTTTGTATTTACTAGATTAAGCAAGATGTTTTAGTAAAATCGTGAAACTTCCATTTTTTGACACATTTATATCGTTTCTATTGATAGTTTTGATCACTCGCATTTTTTTGCTCCTTAAGCGAGGCACGAGGTGTTAAATCGAAACTTTATTCACACAACAAAAAAGTTAACGTTTCGGCAGGTCGAATCCGTCAGAGCGTGGAAAGGTCAAAGTTGTTTACTATTCAATCAGTCCAATACTTCCATTACTTCTTTATAGAAAATTGTCAGACCTAGATTTCGATCACATCAAGCACAAAGTCAACCTTAAACATACTCACCGCTTCTTATTATATGTCTTCCACTGAATGAACAGGTGAAGGGCAACGGAACGATAAACACATAAGCCACTAATGCACTATACCCATCAAAACTACAGTCCTATATACTGACTCTTATCACGCGTGATTACGAGGCATTCTTCCCTGCGGTTGTGTTTATCCAGAACGCCTGAAGTTCTTTCGTGCTGATGCTTCTTGCTCCTGCTCAAAGATGGTGACCTCTAAATCAAATCCTCCGGTATGCTTTTGGGCTCTATGTATACCTTTTTCTAGTATGGCGCATGTAAACTAGAGTTTTTCTATGCGAGCATAGAGCGCCCTACGTGTTTCGCCAATATATTTATCGTCGCACGCTTTGCAAGAGATTAGGTACATTGTGCCTACGCTCATGCAATCACCGTCCCTGACGTAAGAGCACATTCGGTAGTCCGTTCTTGTGCAGAGGCGGTCATATAAACGATTACGAACTAATTGACGCATAAGAGTATTTGGTGCATTTCTGTTACTGACACCAGTAGTTCTAAGCCTGCTCTTTTCAAACAACGTTTTATAGCCGTACTTATCTCATTTGAATAGAACGGGAGGATAAACGGAATCTTACTTTCTCTAGAACTTTTGTGCAAGGACGAACTGTTTCCTCCAAACCTAAGCCGGGGGGTTACAAAGTTGTAGACACTAGAAATGGCTATTTTTCAAGCCAGCTTTCCGGATTCTATTCCTACTTTGAACATAAAGGCAACAGCTAGGATAGGCGCCAGTCGCTGCCCCATTGCCAACCCTCTAGTCTGTGCAAAGTACTTCCCGGACCATCTGAAGATTGAGCAATTCAGACACTCTTTCAAGAATATCATGAAATGCTGAATCGATAAGCCAAACATGATGACAACTCCTTGTTGTTTTGTAAGGAGCTCGTATGTGGCTTGTAATGCAGAGTCGTTTGGTATACAGAGTATTACGTTGGTATACAGAGAAGTGACGTCAAATGACTCCATTACGAACGCGTTATTTGGATTCGCGTTGCGCAGACGGTCCAGGAACATCTGAGTGTTGGTCGGATAGGCTGGAATGTGTCTTACTAACTGGGATGTTATTAAACGCAAGATCCATGCTATCCTATCCGTCGGTCCGTCTACACAGGTGATAATGGGTCTAGCTTTGAATGTGGATGGATTATTAGACATCAGATCATCAGTGGATAATGAATTATGTGTTCTTATAAGCAAGTATAAGACGGGACATGTTGGTGATTGGATTTTCAGTTGAGTGATGATAGATGGTCTTAAATCTGCGGCTTTTGCCGTCTGGACCCACTCATTGTTCAATTTGCGGTACTGTCTTCTAAATTCTTTTAGAGAATATGATCGGCAAAACGAAACATCTTTGAGATGCCTTCTACTCATTTCGATATCTAGCTGTCGGGAAATGACTGTGAACTTTCCACCCTTATCGTTAACTGAAAGTCTGATTTGTTCCCGCCTTATCGACTCCTGAACTTCTTTCATCCCACATTTTTGCACCTCGGTAAAATTTGACTGGTATCTTCTAGCGCGATAATGATTAAGAGTTCTAAAAGTTTCGTCCTCAAATTTTTCTAAATTTCCTTTCAATTTCCTCGTTGAGGTCATGTTGTTATTTTCGGATATATTCATCTAGTTTATTGATTTCACCTCCAAAATGCCTGTTGAACAGTGTGTGTTGTTGTGCAATTATTGAAGAAAAGGTTTAACGATTCTCAAGGCCGTCGATGATATCAGTGAATGTGAATGTGCTGGTACGGCGGCAGAATCGACTGTAGACAGATGGTTTAAGCAATTTAATGAATGCAATTTTGATCTTGAAGACATGCCTCATTCTTGTCAGTCATCGGTTTGGAAGAAAATGACTTGCGAGCCGCTTTGGATGCTGAGTCTTCATCGACCGCTTGTAGTCCAGATGTTGTTACACCTGATTAAGGCCTCTTTCAATCAATGTAGCACACTTTGATTGATCGATTTGAATGATTTAATAAAATTAAAAAAATTATGCCAAGAGTTTTTGATTCAAATGAGCTGGAACGGTATTTCGAGCAGATCCGGAATCATGCAGAGCTGTGACAGAAATACGTGGGCGATGGCGGTCTAAACTTTGAGGAATAGATATTGTCGTTTTTATTGTTGCTAGGTTGGAAAGAAAGTTTCCATCGCTTGATAAACTATTAAAAATTTAAGCATATATTCGGACAACAAACAACACAATTATTTTTCAAAATACAGGCCATTATTGTCCACCACTTATTGCCATCGATCCGCCACGTTTCGGATCTGATCAAAGTACCACTCTTTCGGCTTTGAATCAAAGAACTTTTGGCAAGCTTCTCCAACTTCATAAAAAGATTCAAATCGGCAACCTTCCCAAATGCGTTGCAATGATCGGAAAAGGACGTAATCAGATGGAGCACGTTCGGACTATAGGGTGGATGCGGTAGAATCTCAACTCCGTCCCATTCCTCAAACTTTGCCTTGGGTACGGTCGCCCCAAGCCTTGTTGATTTGGCGAGCAGCATCACCAGCATTTGAACCAAATTTGTACTTGTAAAGCACAACAAGCGTTTTTGCTCTCTGGACAATTCCATTCTGCAGCAGATATAGACAAATTATATCTTAATAGATGCGCAAGAATTAGAACTTTAAAATGATATGAAAACCACACACGATTCATGCGAAAAATGGCATTCCCATCCCGATGATGGAAATTTTCTATCCAACCTAATAATTTGCGCATAAAACGGAAACTTCCAAAAAGTTCCTAGAACTTTTTACTCAACCTCAGAAATTTTAGACTATGGAAAGTATGTCAGACAAGAAGCCAATTTAAGCAAAATTCTTTACCGACTTAAAATCTTGTAAAGGAGTCAAAAACAACTCGTAAAATCCTCAACGCATTGAGTTGAGGGACTGCGAACGAACGTGCGATGCATTTGTTGTTTAAGAAATTCGTGGAGATGAGGGCTTCGAAGATGAAGACCGTAATGGCTGGCCATGGAAAGTCATCAGAAGTAGAGGAGAAGTATTTGTCGAAGCTAATACTCTTATGACTACACGAGATGTTGCAAAAAAACTCAGCGCCACCCATTTCACGTCGTTCGCCATTTGATGCAAATTGAAAGGTTGTTTTTACAAAGGCAATTGTTATTGCAGCCGGCGGCAGCCACATGTCAGACAACGTTAGCTTCAAAAGTTGAACCAAGTGGGCTACAAAGTTCCGCCTTAGCCTCCATATTTGTAGGATCTCACCTCCATCGACTACCACTTCTTCAAGCATCTCGATGAGTTCTTGTAGGAAAAACGCTTTGACAACCAACAAGATACACTGACTGCTTTCCAAGAGCACTTCGATCCTCGAGGCACTGATGTTCAGTTTGAAAAAGCTAAACTCATTCATCGTTAAGAAATATGTGTTGGTTGGGATGAGTACTAATTTGATATATAAAGATGTTCGAATGAAGTTTTAACGATTTACGAGGTCATGGCTTGGAAACGTATCCAATTTCGCATCAACATGATATTTTCATTCAAAGGTTACACCAAAGAAAGCAGTCAGTTGGCTCGATGATCTTCTTGTGGTACGCTTGACATCCCGAGGAATTCCCTGGTAGCGCCTCTTCTCCATCGCTTGCCGTTGGAACGCATTGTGTGTTCGGCCAACCTTATCTTATAACTTGGCGTGTAGAAGGGCACCTCCGATTTCGATCGTTGATGGCGGTTGGAACATCTGATCTTTTCTCTCATTTGTAAGACACAAGAGGCATCGGCATCCTGATTGATCGTTTTATGTCGTTAAAGTGCCCCTATATCATGACTACATGGGACGCGGCGTCAGGTTTCTGATGCATATGTTAAAGGCAATGGGAGTCGCCGAGCCGAAAAAGTGACCATGTAATCGGACGCTCCTTGCTTTCTTTATTGCGTCTTTGTAAAAGCCCTCTAAGCTAGCATTCTCCTGCTGAGCTCTGTAGTTAAATCAATTATTTGTAAATTCACCGGTCTAGATAGACGTAGTCGACGCATTCAAATATGTCAAATTCGTTAAGCGTCAAAAGGGTATTCAGGATCAGTGTGTTTCTCATAAACTCCGTTTTTTCGTGATTTATGAGAGAACCAATACTTCCGCAAATATTGTCGAAGTTGTTCCTCACTCACTCTGCTTAGCTAATATGGTATAAGGACGTTACCTTCACCAAAATGAATGGCGTGTAATTGTCGACCATCAATTTTCACTCCCAGTTTCCAAATTTCAGTGTTCGTATAACATTGTGAATTGTGGTGGCAGATAATGCTTGTGTATGAACTTTTTATATAAATCACCAAGAATGTTCACGTTTAAACCAACTTCACCGAACTGCCCACAGATTCTACGAATGCAACGAAGCGCCGGTGGTGCGACGGTTAGCATACGCTCCTGGAAAGAGTGAGATCTGGGTTCGAATCCTTCGAATCCCGGCTGACGCAAATGTTTTTGCACAGCTTTCCACATTATTGGGTATACTTCCACGAATGCTTTAGCTTCAGTTAAGTCAAACCTTCCCAAAATTGAGAAAAATGGGATACACTGGTATGTTTCTCCGACGATACTCCAATGACCTCGGTGACCGTGTGAATTCGCCTACTGTTCCAAATCTCTTTGGAAACCCTGTTTGTTCACATGGGTGCCCCTGATTGAGTGTCTTGTCAATCCCTTTTCAGATGACTCGAGTGAAAAGTTTGTGGACGATAGATAACATTCAGATTGAGCGATAGTTGCCGATATCCTGGCCATCGGCAAAAGAGTATGTTTTGCTTTTGTGGAATGTTCCAGTCTCGTTCGATAGCTCAATTCAAGTGAATTCGAACGGTGTATTTTATTTCTCAAATTACTTGTTTTTAGCTCTGTAATAGTGGTAATGAAATTTTCTTTCAATAAGAGGATTTTTCGCCGGACAGAAGTTTTTCCATAGCCATATTCTAATCATTAAATAGGGCAAATATTGATAATTTTAACAGTAAGTTTGATTTCTGAAATAAACTTCGTATAGCGCTGTAATATTAGAAAGAAAATATGGTTTCACACTCGGTGAACACTTCTTGTCTGCTACGGTCTGTGCATTAGATGTAATATAAATCCGCGGAACGAATCATATGTGAATTTTTTGCTGAGTATCAAGATTTTACATTACACCATCGAAGCAGCATGTGGCGCAGTGGTTAGAGGTGCCCTGCGTCGCATACGAGGTCAATGGTTCGATCTCGCGCTCATGGCTCACCAAGCCATTTATTCCTCCGGGGTCAGTAAATTGGTACCAGACAGGTCTCAGACTTGTCTGGGAGGATAAGCAGCACTGACTCGGTTCAGCGGGAGGCCACCGCGAGTCATTGTAAAGGCCAGATATGCATTCAATCACCTCAAACGAAGTTAGAAATTGAAGTCGAATGCATGGCGCATCCCTTAGGGATTGATCAACGCCGAGAGCTTTATCCTTTAGCTTTTTATCAAGATTGTCTCTAATAATTCACATTTTCCTCTACACGCTGCTTTCTTTTGGGAAAAGGATTTGCTAAAAATGATTTATTGTGCTTCATAGATTGACAAATTCATAACACAATAAAGATCATATTATACCTTTCCTTCGAGTACTTTATTAAGACCACGCTCAAATTTCAATAGATCCTGGGCTGTACAAGAGCCTTTACCAGACCACATGACATGTTGGCTTAAATAATAAATAAAGGATCTGTTGAAATTTGAGCGTGGTATAAATAAAGCACTCGGAGGAAAGGTATAATATGATAAAAATACCAGCCAGCTAGCAATCGAGTGCGAAAACACTCAGTGTTAGGTGAATGTTCCACCTGACAAAGAGTGTAAAGCGTAGGTCGTCGATAACTATATATAAGGAGTGTGACGCTCCCGAGAGAACTGACTATGAAAAGATCGACAGACGACGGGTTCTGCCCGGCTGATGAGTCTGTAAGGACGAAACACGTGTCTCGGGCTGTACAAGAGCCTTTACCAGACAACAATAAAGATCATTTTTCAGGAGGCCAGAAAACTTTGACTGCATCAAAGAATAACTCAAAAAATAGTTATTGCAGTCCACGACTATGCTGCGGTTCAAGCTGACATTTTCTTGCACCTTTTAATGGACGTTGACTCCTCGGCTCATCAGCGAGAAACGAAGAACAGTAACGAATAAGAGAAATTCTAAATGATTCTGAACCAATTTCCGACTCTAATATTGACCCTACCGCGGCAGCAATGGTTGTAATATCGCCAGGCAATTTGTGAACAGAATTGAAGCTTCACTCGATTTCTTTCTTACACTGTAATACACTGTGCTTTTGTGAGAGCACGACGGCTTCTTTTCGGTGGTTGGTGGAGCAAAAATGCACATGATTAACTGAACTCGATGAGAAGCCGAAGACCGTTGGAAGGCAGTTGACTTGCAATAAGTCACGCAATGCGACGAATGTTAAGTTGGCTCGTTAGCCTGATGCCTATGTTGGAAATCCCATTTACATCCCGACAATGCGTGGTGGTCTGGTGTCATTGTTGCAATGCGTGGCACCTAACTTTGTTTTGGGTGCTAAAGCTCACCTAGAAGTCCTCATGAAAAACCAAATACATTACTGAATTGGCAGATTTCAGACACATCAAGTGTTACTGAAAGTCCAAGGAAAATGCTCTGTTCGGCGAAAGATGCGTCGAAACGCCGCACGTGTGAAACACAAATTTATTTTGGCTGTCAAAGCACACTAAAAGGTTTTCTCCAAAACGCAACTACTTTGTTGAAATTGTTTAGATTTTAGTTGTCGATTAAGCTACAGAACCGTTTGAAAGAACTTAGAAAACGCTTTGCTTCTAAACGGGTGCGGCTAACAGCAATAATTTGGATGCGTGAGCGCAATTTTCTTATGAGCACTACAAAGCTGCGAAAATTCTATTCTAGAAACCAAATTTGCCATTGAAATTGGCAAGATTTGCTCTATCTATCAATCAAAACCTGATTATGAAAAGTTCCATCCGGCGAGAAATTCTTGAATGTGAAAAATTTTAATGCAACTGTTACAGCACCAAAACTAAGCCATTAGAGAAATAAAATACACCATCAACTTCACTTTATTTGAGATATCGAACAACTACCAAAGCGTTATACAAACGCAAAAAATGTGTTTTTACGGAAGGCCTCAAGCAGGGTTGAGATAACGGAAAAGTACCGGAGCTTGTTAACTGAGGATCACTCTTAGACGTTTTCCATTGATTTTCTGGTAACATAGTAGCGTGCTTTTTGCCGATTTTGATCGCAAGATATTAAAAGGGCAAAATTGGGAGCACAAAGTCATCTCAAACGCTTCGTTTTATCGTAAGCAAAACTATGTGATAAATAATAGACGTTGAGTGTACAAAAGTTGTTCAGACAGTGATATTCTTAGCGGGGGAGTCCTTCATATGATGACAGAACATTTTGAGGATCGCACTTCAGTATAGTGTGAGCTCAAGTATGCTGATAAGAAAAAAATTGCGCACTAAACCACTTAGTACAAGCATAATGAAGGTACAAGAGTAGGGAATTTTCCCATTTATTTAGTGAAGCGCTCTGCTCACTAACTTTTTACCCCTTCAGAGTAGCCAGATTGGCAGTAGCCTTGCCTGTAGGCATAGCAGCACTGAAGTGACAGACTGGTTGGCCTAGTTACTCTGTTAGCGAGATATACAGTCAGTCACATCAAGCGATTCCTGTTCAAGTCCTTCATATAAATCATCTCTCAAGAATTGGTCAGCGTTGAGACCTTTGTTCATCATCCTTCAGTTATATATACCCATTAAACTTCTGGTAATCAGTAAGAAGTAGGGAACAATACCCAAGCACAGTAAGGCGTGTATGCATAAATGCTCGTTCGTCTAAACACATGGCATAGGTCAGCTTGCAAAAGACGTTGGAAACTATTTCTGATATCGTGGATTCTAGTCGAAGCATAATCTGTCTATTAAACGGCTTGTTTATATGCAGATCAATGACGATATGACAGAGGGTTTAATTTGCCACGGTGATAGAATAACGGAAATTTGCAGACGCGTTGAAAGACGCCACGAACTGCTGTGGTGCACATTTCTCTCCTTCCGGCTGGGAGTAGGTGAAATATCTATATATGCAAAACTCTTAGTCTCTACTGCATATGGGCAGTCTATTCTAACGACTGAGAATTTTTGAGAAATGGGAGCTTGTTGTTGCTTGTTGAAAACTAGTTGTTGAGTTTAGTTGAGAGAAAAGTTGAGAATTTCTTTTGTACGATGATTTTTGTCCAACTTACAAGAACAGGATTAGAAAATGCCTACCTTTGATCGTACACTCGTGAGTGTTTTCAAAGGTATTCTTTGACGTTTCTCAACTGATAGACGTCTATGGCTCAATATTTCATTGCGTGTGACATAAATATAAATCAATGATGTCGGCAAGCTATTCTATGTAAAAGGATGGTTGAACAAAAAATTTATGCATGCTTCCACTGTTAGAAAAACGGTATGGTAAATGAAAATGTTTTGACAAATTATCATCCACGGTGTTCATATCACGAGGATGTTCACAAGTAATTCTACTACACATAGTTCTCTAAAAAATCTATGCAAAAAGTGTTGAATTCAATTGTCTATGTGAGTACAGCGCAACACCACAATTTTCAGAATTATTGCCGAGTAGAAGAGGTGGAGTTTCACTAGTTAGAGACAAGAGCTTGATAGAATACACAACCTTCATCTAACAATAAATGAACTTTTGGAGAACTTGCCTGTGCAGTGCCGTTTTCTTATTCATAATTTACGATCTCATTGTGGGTAGGGAGTTTTCTAAGAACTAGGTTACGATGGAAAGAAGACCAGTAGGTTGGATGAGGTTGAGAAGGAGCTGTCAATTCTACTATGTAGTTTAACTCATACTGAAAACCAATACACAATTTGCAATGTAGAGAGCACCTAGTCACAAGCTGATATGTGACTTTGATGAGAATTGCGGCAAGTGCAGCGATTAAAACATAGAAATCGTGTCGTGTAATTTTTGTATAATTATAGAACTGAATACTTCATTAGTACAGCAAAGTGATATTCTTTGTGAACCTTACAATTACGTGCATACAAAGGCAAGCTACAAATTATATAGCACTTTACTAATGTTATAGAGATCATCCAAGAGTATAGAGTGGTATGCAATAACTCTATGTGAGGCAGAAAATGAGTCCGCGTTACACATCTGGAGCGCGTGTTATTAGTGAACTACCGAGGCCACTCTATACTCTTAGATGATCTCTTTGCTACCCTACAACTCTTTTTTCGGTACATCCTATCGTAGATGCTAGCGACCAGCATTTGAATGATTTGGTTGGGTAAGCACATATCGGCATTAAACCATTTGAGCTGACAGTTATCCGAAATAAAAAGTTTACTTGGATTCACTATTTTTACTGCCTTTTAGCAGAAGTGC